GATCAAGTGCTTCAGAGTTCCACTTGCGGCAGCCAATTGGGCATTCACGCGCTCAAAAATCAAATTGTACGTGTGCTCGTAATTGATCTGGTGACGGGTACGCTCGGTTCGCGCATCGATGCCAACCATAGCAATGCGTGCGCCAAGCTGGCAGTATATCGAGCGCGACCTTTCCTCCACATATGGTCCTGGTTCCTGGCCAATAATGTACGAGGGGTCTTCCGTTTCTGGTATTCTGACCCAGGCGTCTTTGAGCTGCGTAGCATCAACGCCCGATGTCAAGCCAGGACCGGCGTGGTTGGTCGCAGGGGCATCAGTAGTATAGGTACTTTTTGGAGGAGGCAGATGATGCTGGAAAAGGAGATAGTATTTGTGAGCAACACCTCCGATGCCCCGGAACACGGCGCATTTCATAAAGTGATCCGTGTATGAACCAAAACCGTCGATGATGTCGTGATCGTCCCAAATATTCAGTTGGGGGATCTGAGCATTGGCAGAAGCAAATGGCTCGGTCGAATACCATCGGAGGTAATTATCGTAATAATACTTGTCGCACTGAGCTCGCAGGTCTTCATTGAAGGGGAAGTCTCGGCGTTTGACAGGATTGGCAATATCAGTCCAAGGCTTGAGTGGGCCCTTGACACGCACTCCGTCGTTGTAGATCTGATCGCCACCACCGATCATCACATGTATAGGCCTCTTAGCGTGCATGCGCAGGACGTCGTTCCAGAGCGCCGGGCCAGACCAGGCTTCTTCATCGGTGCCAACTGAGAAACCATTGCAGGAGTGGAACATCATGCGCATGCTCTCTGTCTTAGCTGGCACCCAGAATCGTCGTGGATCGTTGGGACCGACTTTGGTTTGCGCCTTGCCAACAAGCCCGGAGAAGCTGTACTCCCACTGCGACTCATTTGCCTGAAATGGAAGAACGAGCGGAAAGGCCCAGAAAGCGCCCTTGGGTTCCTCGTAGAGCTTGTCACCCTTGACTGTCGAAGTGAAGGACGCAGCACCAGTGACAATGTTGTCCTGTTCGCCGCGCACCATGCGCAACCGGAGCTCAGGTCTCGCAGCGCCCGGCGTAGTGACAATGAGGACGCTGCCGTGCCACAACGGATTCTCTGTGTTCTCCTGGCTCATTCTCCGGTAATTCAGCAGGGGCCCGACCAGGACCTCAGTCCCGCCTGTGCCATTAACCACATCGTGCTCTCGACCGATCCCCAGCACACCATTCGTGCGGGTTTCCTGGATAGGAGCCTCGGTAGCTGCAGCTGAAACAGTATGTTCTTTTGCCATGGCCGGGTCGTGGTTCACCTTTGCGGCCTCGAGGACAGCCTTTGCGGCATTGGCGGGATTTGGAGGGTCCAAGGCCATGATGGTGGACAGAGGTACTTGCGGAGCTGCAGGAGCTACCTCCGTATCCTAGCTGTGGCTGTGCGGGTGTCGTTGTAGCAGGACCAGCTGCTCAGAGATCTTGATTATACAGAGTGAACGCCAGAAAATGACAAGGGGTATCCGAAGCAGAGACTCGCAAAATAGAGAATAAAATGATTACAACAAGGACGCGAACGTATCCGGGGATATTGTTACTTGCAGCCTTCAAAGAGGACAGTGGCGGGGAAGAGAAGGGCGTGGGAAAAGAAAGCTTCAACGCCACGCTCGAGGGATGGATAACGAGATATTTAAAGAAAACCCTGGCAGAAGGCACAGAATCAAGACCCAAGGAGACTGACCACCTGGGCCGCACGCAGAACGAGGTCGGGGATGATCAGCCACGAAATTGATCGAGAGTGGGCGAGTCAGGCGCGGCATGTCAGCCACAAGTACGAAGCTCCATTACGCGCTTGATCCCTGCATTCCTCTTGGCTGAACCGGCCAAGGGCTTGGCCACGAGCCTGAAATCTGGCGCACAAATGGTGCTCCACCTTCATCGGCACGATCCGTGTCCCCACTGCTGTACCAAGATCCATGTGCAGCAATATCAGCCGCTCCATCGCCAAGGGATATCTCTGTTCCAATCCCCCAAAGACTTCCTAGAGTGTTCAGCAACAGCTTCAGAAGTCCAGTCTCTCCCCGTTGGTGAGCTTCTTCGATCGTCGTCCGTCGCCAATTGAAGAGAAGCCATTCTTTCAGCTGCTGGCATCCACTTGCGGAGACTGCGCTCCACTCGTGCTGGGATCTTTCATAGCACCTCTTCGGCTCCCAGAGCTCGTCTACCTCTCCACTGCGTGTTTACCAAGACGATCCGGCTTGCGAGCCTTCGTCAAACTATCCTTGCGAGGCCGTCCAGGCTTGCGTCTTTCGACACCGGATGCTTTTCGAGGCTGGCCTGTCTTCCTGTTTGCCACAGGTTTCGAGATCTCAGTGCCTCCACGCTTTTCTGGTGCCTGGCGTGTATCATTGCCGGGAAATGCATGCTTGCTGTCATTCGCCGGGGTCGATCCGCTCTTGACTGCTAAAACGTCGTGCTTGGGTCGACCACGTCTCTTCGTGACAGCGACCTTCTTCTGTGGACCCCGAAGTTTGTGACCGAGTGACGCAGCGCCCAGTCGGGCTTCATTGTAGGTGCCCGGTTCCTGTAACATATTAGTCGTGACCGGTGGACGTAGTACCTGAAAGACTGACCGTGACACCCCTCGACGAGCGTCGTGGACTATCCGAGGCAAGGTGGTCAAACTTGACTTTCTTACTATTGATCGCTTTTGGCCCTGAACCAGCTGGTCTCCCTCGCTTTCTCTTTTTCTGGCTCTCCTCATGATCCTTTTTCATCAACTCAGTCTCCTCCTTCGAAAAGCTCTGATACTCGCTGAGATCAATGTCAATCTTGTCGATAACTACGCCAGCGGATACTCTCGCCTTCCGCTTTGCCATATCTTGAAACTTGTCGACCACAATAGTGGACACAACTTTTGGTTTATGCAACTTGGGACTCCCACTTCCGCTAGGATCCTGAGGAATCCCGTCTATGGTTGACTCAGAATAGTCAATATTCCCATCCATTTGCCGCAGTGACTGGCCCACTTCCCAGTGTGCTCCAAGCATTGCATCATTGTCGTTGGTATCGCGGATGGCGTCATTGGCGTAATTGTTGACCAGCTTGTTGGCTGGGTTGCTGGTTGGGTTGCCGACTGCGTTGTTGCCACGCCAATCTAGGCTACTTCCAACATCCAGTCCAAGCCCACGCCCGATAGTCTGACCCCCGGTCGCACCAGGTACTAAGAAAGATGAAGAGAACAAATCCACTCTCTTTGGGTACACTGGTTCACCGTAACGTGGTTCACGGCGGTGTGCGCTCAGTCCTAGATCTGACAGATCATCGTAATCGCCCGTAATGATACCAAGTCCAACTGGCTCTCCATTGTGTGATGGCTGGTAATTTGGCACGAATAGGCTGTCTGGATCGTTGGCATAATCTCCTATCTCAGGTAACGACATCTTGTAGCGGCGACGGCAGCGTCTGATCTCTGGTGTGGCGGGCTGTGTGTCGGAGGAGGATGCTTCACTGCTGCCAACGAGCTCTATCGGAGTGTGGGGTGTTACTGAACGAGGGGAACTTGAGGTATATGCGACCGAGCGCAGCTGACCGATGATAAAGTCAGCGCGCCGCGGTAGTCATGATCTGATGTTCGGATGGTGCTGCACGAACTCTCTTAGTCCGTGAGTTTTGCATTGGGTGGGTAAGGATGCAGTGGTAGCATTGTGTCGAAAAACTGGCTTGACATCTGTCATGAGGCTACCGCAATTGCATCTTGGCGATTGACAGTCATGATTTGGTGGTGTTGTCGAGGTGAGGACGGGACGGGACGCAGAGTGAGATAAGTGAAGGTCAGACAGTCTGAAAGGCGAGTGGTTGGTAATAGAGGACTGCCATCACTCGTTCACCACAGAAGTGGAAGGTGCATCACTCGCGGAATTGGGTGAATAGCCACCTTGCTGGATGTGACAATGACATCTCACCAGCGCCTAGGTCACTGTTCATATCATATCCACTATCGCCTGTCCTGCAGCTCCTCGAGCTAGCCACCAACCGTACGGGTGCTTTAATTGCGCCTCAAACCATCCTCCATGTTGCATCGCTCATCATTCATAAGTCGCTTCAAGAGCTCTCGAAGTGATCATCAGCCGTCTCTACCGGCTCATCATTATCCTCAGAGCACCCCAAATCACAGCCAGCGTCTCGAAACTCGTGATCCTCCGCGTGCGACGGCAGGTTGTTGACAACCCGGGCCCGCTAATTGCCCGTCATATCACTCGCCCCTTGAGCCAACATACTGTCCGCCATGTAAGCAGCCGCATAGTCTCGGTTCGCACATTCCAACAATAGAACCCCACCGACGTTGGAGCCACTGCGTCATTCGAGATATTGCTTCGGTATCCACAGGGTCCTTGATCGTCTGCTCCACTTTGATAAGCTCGCAGTGGTTGAAAGAAACCGGCAAAGCCTAGGTTACAGACGGGTGCAAGATCGGCCGCATGGCCTTTTTTTTTTTTGCAAACTTAGCTCGTGAGAATCGAGCGAAGAGTGGCCTGATAGGATACTTTACAAGCAAGACATCTATGTAGACTGGCTTGGGGTTGACCAAGACAGACATCACAGTACTCGACAAGCTGTTGTAGAGCTCATCTGTCACCGCTTGCCACTTTGACGAAGCAATGTCGCCTGCTCTAATTAAAGTCTGGTTTGCAATATGCTGAGTAGCCCGATGCAGCACTCAACCATGTGTCCACTCCAGTGTCAGGCCTGTCAATTAACCAGAACATCTTCGATGCTAAATGTCAATTCTATCCAGGGAATTTGATGTGTCATATACGCAAGTCCCGACGAAACCATGTAAATACAATGTCTCGTGACTGTAGCGAGAAGCCGTCAGCGTTCGTCTGAATCTTGCAACGAAACGCAGGGACTAGAAGGCGAAGTTGCTTGCCCACGAGCCATCAGGTAAGGAATTACCCCTAATTTTCATGATGTCAAGCAAAAAAGGATGCCAAAAGATGAAGCAAGTCGACGTGGGCAGGATTCGAACCTACGCCTCCGAAGAGATGTGATTTCTAGTCACACGCAGTAACCACTTTGCTACCACGCCTTGGTTCTCCCTCAGGGGGGCTAAGGGGTATATATTGCATGGGGCAAAGGTTGGTGGGTGTCATAAGTTAGGTGGAAGCCGTAAGGTGAACAAAGCTCCGTTTTTTGTGGGCCGGAGCCGAAGCTTCGCGGCTTGGCCGACACGTGATCCGAACCCCGTCTTGATTGTTACTGACCTATGTGCAAACAGTAGGATGGTCCTCTATATACGGCCTTAAGCATGGGCATTGTGGGAAGATAGGGGTAGTCTGGGAAAACTCCAGACTGGCCGCTCCTATGCGCATTGACCCTCACTTCGCAGTGCAAGGTGGACAACTAGGCGCTCCGACCGATCGGTAGCCCTCAAGGTAGGCTGCTATGTCTTTGAAACTGGCAATGAAAGCGATGGAAAAATTGTTACATTAGATTTCTGAGTATGTATGGCACCTTTAATTCCCTACATAAGCTCCGTTATTGGCCTATGTTCCTATGATCATCATCGTTCGCACATCCCTGCATGGTTCACGCACTATTCTACTGTTTCAATTGTCCCAATTGTCCCACGATACCCCCTCCCGTCCTACCCTACGACACCCCTCTAAACCCAACTTCATCGTATGCTACCACGCACCCAATCCCCTCGTCAGGATAAGCATACTCATGCGCATTCACGGGATCAAAATGCCGCACCGAGCAACGCCAACTAGCATCCGTAATGTTGAGCGAGACCTGCATGGCAGGCATATCATCGGTGCTTTGTTGTGCCGCGACCCACGAGGCGCATGATGTCACAGCGTCAGACAGGGCGGCGGAGGACGTGGCGTAGGTGGTGAAATGCTGGGTGGGCCAAGGGGCGGTGGTGCCGAAGTCGGTGTGGGCGATGGTGAAGGAGGCGATGTAGGGGTGAGCGGAAAAGGAGGCGTTCCGGTTGGTATTCTGGATGGCAAAATTGAGAGTGGAGGGCGCAGGGGTGGCGCAGGTTACTTTGGGGGTTGTGGTTGTGGTGGTGGCGGTGGTAGCTGGGGTGGTAGCTGGGGTAGTAGTTGGGGTCGTAGTAGAAATTTTGCGGGTGGTCGTGGATGTTGCACAGGTGGTGGGGAAAGTAGAGGACGGTTTGAGGGTGATGGTCATGGTGGCTAATTTCGTAATTGTCGTGGTCGTTGTCTTTGTGGAGATCTTTGTGGAGATCTTTGTGGATGCTTTCGTGACCGAGGTGGCAGCGGTTTCGGTGGGCGTTCTGATAGTCGACGTGGTTGTTGTCCTTGTGGTGACCTTTGTGGATGCTCCCGTTGCTGACCTGGTCGTCGTTTTTGTGCTTGATCGCGAAGATTGAGGAGACATCAAGTGGGCTGTAGAGGTTGAAGTTGATTTGGGCTTCGTGGTGGTCAAGGAAGGCAACTTGGTTGAGGACTTTGCGGACGACGATACTAAAGAGAATTTGGCAGCCGCATTGGAGACCTTGAGGGCCAAAGCGGTGGGTGAGGCCGAAGGGACGGTCGCGTTCTCAAGAAAGCATTGGCAGGCATTGTACGTCCTAGATACACTTAGGCTGGAGATAGGCGTGTTCACATCATTCGTGCTGCATTTGGGGTCAGTGGTGGTCAATGAGCAAATGTGAAAATGTCCAACCTACGCCGACCATGCCGAATAGAAGTCGCAAAAGGGCTTGGGGATCTTGAACTCATCGGTCAGCACGGTGATATCTGATTCAAAGCAGGTGTGGTTGGGTCCAAAGCCTTGTCCAGTTGGGACAGCTAACAACTTAGCCTTAGATAGTGCGCCAGAGGAAGCTTTTATGCATGTACACGCGCTCACCGCACGTGCTACGTCAAGACTGTCAAAGGGGGAGCGTGCGCGACCGCTGATCAGCTGTCGTTAGTGATGAAAGGTAGATGTGCGTGTGGTCAAGTCCATACCGTGAGATGTAGAAATTGCAGAAGTACACATAGTGGGACACAACGGACTTGACGTAGTTGACATCGGCGGCAGAGCAGCTAGCTTTGCTTGAGCTCGAGGTTGTGAATATGGCTGCTGTTGTATAGTCGAAGATAGATATAAAAAGCAAGCAAATGCTTGCACTGAGGCGCATGTGGGAAAACATGAGAGCTCTGTATGATGCTTGGAACAGGTATAGGAGCAAGCTACCTAACTTTTCGGGATGACCTCTTCTTAATACAACGCGGTATCGTTCTGACTATCTAGAGGTGGCTTGTGTGTCAGGGCTTGCGTGACGTGAACGGAACGAACCGTTTGTGTTGTGCTGGCCCCGCAACCGCTGAGGATGGAGTTATTTCCGTCCGTTGGTGTACGCCTCACAAGTGTAACGGCGATTGATGCGCCAACTCTCCATAGATTCAAGGAAGCACATCTTTCCGGTGTGTACATCGACAGCCGGCATATCGTATCTCTCTTTATCGTTCAACAATCATCAATTGAATGGCCTATCATATCATACATGTATTTTGATCATGTCGCTAATTTACATGCGCCTCTCATCACGACCCTTGGTCCCGCCAATAGTATCGTCACCCGGCACGCCATCAATCTCGGCTCCTTCCTTTGCATATCTGTCAAGGTCGCTGCCCTTTTGCTTGGAGTGCTTGTCGTATCTGTCGTGGCCTTTGGACAATGGGTCATTGGCGCCATAGTGCAACCTCTTGCTCTCGACTGTGGCATCCAGCACATCGCCCGTGCCGGTCAAAACTTCTCCAGTGGCGCCCATATCACGGTGACCGCGTGGAATGTCGGCTGCGTTCGTGGCGGCGCCGGCAAGGTCGGTTGCACCGTCATCGCTACCGATCTGGTCCGGGCGCGGCTTGGATGGAATAAGATTCTGCTTGCCGGCGTCACCAGGAATGGAGGTACCATCCTTGGCCATATCGTAGAGGTCTCCTCCTTGGTGGGAATCCATTGTGAATGATAATTTGTGTCTGACGGTGAAGAGTGTGCTTGACTCTTGACTTGCGTAATCGTTTGGAAGCTGTGAGGGATTGCGGTGTGCGAGACTGGAGATGGAGGAGAGTAAAGAAAATAGCTGGCGAGGGATCAATACTTAACGAGGTGGTCCTGGGAGCTTACGGCTCCCTTCACGTGCGATGATATACAAGCGACGTCACCCGAGGATCGCAGAGGTGCTGAGCACAGCAGATTCCAATGCAGAGCAGCGATGGCTGCGGTGTTGCCCCTGCTTCTGAGCAGCCCGCCGTCCGCCGAGCTACGTAGCTTCGCTACTGTGATGGACAAGGGTCGAATAATGCTGTCGTCATGCACACGCGACAAAATCGCTCGCCCTGTCCGTTTGACTCATGTTGAGTGGTCCACGGCGGATCACCAGTGCTAGGAACGAGGGTGGGGCTTCAATGACCCTGACATAACGATGAGGCAAGATCGGAATCGCGAATCGAATCGTGTTTTTGGACCCTCATAGGGCTATCCGGATGACCTCCCGAAGCTTCAATCACGTGTTCTGGCGATGGCTACCATTCGATTCTATATTGCTATTTCGTACTATAGAATGCCGCCGAAAATATTTATGAAATCCGCCAACATATATTCTCATGGTTGCTTACACGAACAGCGAACTTGAGGGGCCAAAATGCACCAGCGGCGAAAGAGCAGAAGGATTCGAGGAATCTCACTCTGTACTACATTTCCACCACGGGATATTGAAGTTTCAGGATTAAATATGATCAGAAGTCCTGCCTCTGTCCTCTCATGCTGTGGATTGAGCTCGCCAAGTATATACGCTACCGGCTAAACAACTATGTACAAATGCTAGACATTCATGCCGCTAAAACATGCAGGTTTATTATCAATCCCATGACCGTCTCGGTCGCCAATCGCTATGCCGCTCCATTCATGCACATTTTCCCCGGCATTTATCACCGCCTGTTGATCGACGCAGATCTCACCGTCCCTCCGTGACGGCTACGGCTTCGTACCCGTTCTGGCCGACGGACGTATGAACTTTCGGAACCTTAGTAAACATGTCAGTCGTGTCCGTATCTGTCACAGCAGAATCATGTAAACTCACTCGCTGATGTAACATCCGAGACCATAGAGTCTTCGGTGTAGTAACTCATCTTTTCCTCCCTCTCCCTGCGCTTCTTATCTTGCGACCTTTTGAAGCCCAGCACAGCGGCCAGCCCGGCCAGCGCGCCTGCAACACCCAAAGCTTCTTTGCCAACGCCAGAGCTGCGGCGCTCGACTTTGCGTTCGACTCTTGCTGGCCGACCTCTGCTGCCGCCAGCGCCGCTATAGTATGATCTGTCATCGCGACCTCGGTGGCTGTGGTGGTACTCCTCGATGACCTCGGTCTCCCGCTCACGGCGTCGATCGCGCTTGCCAAAGCCCAGTAGAGCCAGGATCCCATTGAAAAGACCTCTGAGAATGAGGTAAAAGCAGATGAGGAATAAGAGCGCAATACCGAGGAGCACACCAATGACGATACCAGCTATAGCACCACCTGAGAGACCACTATGACTACTTTGGGTGAGTGTCCCAATGGTCACATTGGCGCCTGTCGCAACTGGAGCCAAGAATGATTGCGTGACGGTCGGCCCGTGGGAGCCGGTGGACGTGACGGTGACAAGAGTGCTGTCGGTCGGTCTGAGCGGAGGCAGGAAACCTGCGGTAGTGCTCGTTGCGAATGAGGATGCGTATACTCCGCTCGAGCCACCGTTGGCGGCGGCGGCGCATTGATTCGGAGAAGCACAATATTGGTTGCTAGCACAGCAAATAGTGCCACACGAGACCTGATTGAGTTTGTAATCACATGAAGCGGTAGGCTGGGGCGCAGCGGTGGCAGGTGTTCCGACGTAGCTGCTGCCAATGCTGGTGACGGTGATGAGATCTGTTTGGACGTATGTGGATGTCCAAGTGGTCCAGTAGCCACCGTTGCTTCCGCTGCCGCCACTTCCAGCGTTATTGCCGCACTGTGCTTGGCCGTTGCTGTCGGTGTAGCAGTACTGAGATGAGCTGCAGCACAATTGGCCACTCCAGCCGCATGGGTTGGCGCAATTG